GGAGTAAAAGAGATAGAGTGAGAGATGGGAAAAGTAAAAGAGATAGAGAGAGAGGAGAGAAAGAAAGAAAGAGAGAGATAGTGTGGGTATGTGTGTCTGTGTGTGCATATGTGTTTGTGTGTGTGTGTGTGTGAGAGAGAGAGAGAAAGATTGAGACAGAGAGTGAGAGAAGAGAGAGAGAGGGGGGGGGATTAAAAGAGATAGAGAGAGAGGAGAGAAAGAAAGAGAGAGATAGTGTATGTGTGGGTGGGTGTGTGCGTATGTGTGTGTGTGTTTGTATGTGTGTGTGTGTGTGAGAGAGAGAGAGAGAGAAATTGAGACAGAGAGTGAGAGAATTGCCCCCTTTCAGGAGTCCCATACTTCGCGGCGTTCAGACTTTGAATGAACTTTGGTGACCCCAACAACCGGTGCTCACACGATGCCGATGCCGTATCTTGTGATTAAGTTGTGATACCAACGCTCAGGGTCACTGACCTGCCACGATGGGGAACCTGACAAGACGCTTGTATAACTTTCTTTTCTTTTTTTCCACAAGAGACAGCACAGGACAAATAGTGATTTAATTTGATGGTGGTAAATCTTTTTAAAACAAAAAAATCAAGGGCACGGCAAAAATTGCCGCGGTTGACTTTGTTTTTAAGGGCATTACGGCAAATTGCAAAGGCACCAAGGCAAATTGCCACGGTCTATTTCAAGCCCTGAACTATCTCTTGGACCTTCCGGTTACCGTGTACGTAGACCCCGAGGCTACGTGTACGGTACGTAGACACTCCGTTGAAACAACAGTTACGGCGATATTTTGCTAAGAATAGTCCTTAAGACAGCTTTTTTCTTCATCAACTGAGCAAAACAATGTAAAGCTCTTTCTCCGGAAGAGTTAACATTGGTTGTGGATGAAGGAGCCTGTGGCCTAGATTCTACGTTTTGGTAAACTCTGAAGGCTGGAGAATTATTTGCATATGAGGCCCTGTCAAGGATGAAAGAGAATTTGCAGCTCAGTCTCGCCGTTTTTGCCCAAAGGGGGGGTGCCCGGATTGTAACATAAAATCCGTAGTTCTCATCCTTCGGGCACATAAGATAATATAGTGCCAATGGTTATATAACAAAGAATCAAGAATTTGCGCATAATTTGAATAATAGTAGAGTCAGATACAGCATATTAGCTCAGTCAGACACCAGTGTAGTAGAGTCAGATACCAGTGTGTAATACAATCGGATCAGTGTAGCAAAGTCAGATACCAGTGTAGCTGAGTGAGCCAGATGCCAGTGTAGTAGAGTCAGATACCACGTAGTAGAGTGGGTCAGATACATACTCATTAAAATAGCTATAACTTTTGAAAACCACTTTAGACAAACTATCATTGTGTCCAAGTGTTGATAATGTAAGCATTAAAGATCATGTTATTAAGCTTGCAAACAAAGAAATGTGATGATAAATGAAAATGACCGAGGTCAAAATACTGCCCGAATCCATGAGAAAATCCCAAAAATGCGACCGAACTCGTAAATAAATCGGGTGTCACTTTTGCATCCAGTAAGGGCCTCAAATATGAGAACAAGCTGAAACAGGTCATTCCTGGGGTCATCCAATCACAGGGCTTCCTGTAGCTGGTTTCGGTTTGTCACTAGGGCAAGACAGATAGGAGATATAAAGCTTTAAAGTCGACGTGCCTGTTTTCGTCCTAATTTTGACCGAACCGGTAATTTTACTCTAGATCTAGAGTGTGCCACTCTTTTGGGGCTAGATTTAAAAACAAAGTTTTAAACGATCTTTTTGTACTCCAGTGCCCGACAGCTAAAAAAAAACGTGCTGCCCGAACCGGTACGATTACTCTAGATTAGATCTAGATCTATTCTATGTCTCAACCTTAGGAATTCATAATTTTCCCGTTTTTAATATCTCTCTGAATGGAGAATCTCAGACCGGTAGATCTATTCATTAAAATTTTGTCAGGGGGGAGACCCCACTGAACCCCCCCTCCCCCCTCCTCCACCCCAACCACCCGCCCCACCTACCCCACATTCTGACATTCTCGCGCAATAATGTACGAGTGGTCCGGTATTCTTCAATCTTCCCCTAGATCTAGATCATCTACTTCTGGTTCTAAATGATTACTTTTTGGTAGTGTCAATTGCCACCGAGTGACGCGGTGGCAATTAACAAACATTGACTTTTTGTCAATTGCCACCGAGTGAAGTGGTGTCAAGTCTGAAAACAACACTATCTTTAGCATTATACATAATGTGTGTCTAATGGGTCAATTTTTTTCTCAATAATTCATTGGAAGAGCATCTAGTCTAGAGCTAGGGTACCAACTTGGCCTGTTTTCAATGAGACGTAGGCCTAGATCTTGGCTAGCCTTAGCCTACACTTTGGTGTAGAACCAACACAGGCAATTCTAGAAGTAGAAGG